ACAAAATAAGAACACACCTATTACTTATATAAGTGATTTCATGCTAGAAAAATTACTACCAACTTGAATTTTCACAAACAAATAAACTTACACTTTGCTAGACAATTTTTTAGCCAAAAAACTTAAGGAATATTCTTTGTGATGTTTGTGTTCATCTATATGAATTGTAATCCTCTTATCTAATAAAACTATACAATCTAAGTACTGAAAGGGAGGAAATAAATTGTCTCTGCTTTCCAACATGTAAAATCCATAAATGCAAGTAGCTTGGTAAATACTAGAAATTATTCTTCTTCAACTGGGACAAAGAATATTTCTACACTGAAGTTTTGACCACTAAAACATACACTTGTTTGTGGACTTTAATTTGTAACCATGAATAAACTCCTATCAATGATTCTGAATTCTCTCTCCATCCTGCTTTTACCCAGAGTCTACAAGGACAAGGACAAAATAGCGTATTTAATAGTTCGATGTTATAAATCTTACAAAGTTGGCCTGCCATGTACACAGAAATTGTGCATTTTTACAATTGGTAGGAAATCCTCAGCCTATTTATAAGGTGTTACTTCAGTCTAAAATCAAAATTTCAACCAAGAGAACATACACCTTGACTATGACAAGTGTTTTTATTTTAAGATAGTATGTTTATATATAAAAACTTAACTGAGGATAGGCATTTTATTTTAAAAGTATCTGGTCATTTTTTTAAGGTGTAGCTTTTAGAGATTAAGGGGCCACCAACGAACTAGATCATTGTTGATAAAATGGTTGTCCTTTTAAAAGAAAAAACAGGTACTCACACAAGTATTTGTATACCCATGTTCCTAGCAGCATTATTTGCAATAGCTAGAAATTGGAAGCCACTAAAGTGTCCACAGATGGATCTCAGATGGATGAATGAACAAAATATGGTAGACACATTCAGTGGAATATTATTCAGCATTAAAAGGAAAGGAAATTCTAACACATGCTACAACATGGATGAACCCTGAAGACAGGCTAAATGAAATAACCCAGTCACAAAATGACAAACCCTGTTTTTGAAGCGCCTTTAAGAGTCATATTCATTGATACAGTAAGTAGAATGAAGGTTGTCGTGGCTGGGGGAGAGAGAAACGGGGAATTAGTGTTTAGATGGCACAGAATTTCAGTTGGGGAAGATGAAGAAGTTCTAACGATGAATGGTGGTGATGATGCACATCAAATGAACTTGAGGCCATAGAACTATACACTTAAACTTGGTTAGGATGGTGAATTTTACATTATGTATACTTTACAATAAAAAAGGATTCAGCTGAGTAGCATTCTGAAATCTAAACAATAGTCTATTTAATCACAGTTGAAGATAGTGAAAAACCAGATATTGTCTTTTTTTTTAAATACACCTATACCTGGTAAATCTATTATTTCATTGTTTATTTTTCTGTCTTGTTTTCTCACTCCATTTTATCCCCAACCCCCTAACTTCATCTTATTCCATTTGTAAATGCTGTGCTTTCTGCATTTTTAAGATTGGAAGAACAGACTCCAAGAAGCACCAGTTATTATGTTAAGAAAACTGCATTCTTCTTGGAATCTAGTCCATTATTTACATGTAGTCAAAGAACACAATTTCATACCATACAGTAATATATTTCTGTAATAAGCATTATCCTTCTCTACAATATTCATCCAAGTCAATTTTCTTCTGACTAGTCTATACAATCCCATCTATGGATTTCCTGGATTGATAATAACCTTCCAAAATTTCAATCATAACTAACTAGAATTTTGAAGAATTATTGATCCATGATTTATACGATTTATGGTAATCTGCTTCCAAGTTTATTATTTTGATGATGAAGTTGCAAAACATAAATTTTCAGAAAAATTTATGTTGTCTCATCTTAAATGCAGCAGTTGAGAGTATGGATTTTGCAGTCAGATGGCTTGGTTTGAATCTTCGTCCTACCATTTGTTACATGTGTGAATGGGTAAATTATTTATATGTATTCTGTAAATCTCAGTTTCTAGAGGAAAAGGAGGGTAGAGGGACATATAAAGGGGGATAGAGGATAAAGGGGGGGTAAATGGTGATGGAAGACTTGACTTGGGGTGGTAAAAACACAGTACAAAATACTGATGAGGTATTATAGATTGTACACCTGAAACCTATATAATAATTTTATTAACTAATGTCATCCCAAGAAATTCAGTAAGTAAAGAAAGGAAATGTGGACATTAGTATCTAAGAACTGTTGTTAGAACCATGTATATAAAGCTCCTTTACAGTGTCTGATATATAGTAAAATTCTTAATAAGTGGTAGCTATTAACAATAATAACAAAGACAACAACAACGGTAGCAACAGCAGCAGCACAGAGGAGTGCCAAGTGCCCTACTAGACTGAAGGGCATCATATTGCAACTTTCGAAAGTGACTCCACGATTTTCATTCTAAAATGAATCCCAGAAAAAGAGCAATTGTATATTGCAAGGTTTGTTTTCTTTTGTTCATCTCTTCTAAATAGCTTCATTCTTGTCATCACATGAAGCAAAAGAAATTAAGCAAAACAAAAACAGGAAGACCAGTGTGTGTCTGTGTACATATACACACAAACACACGTCTCTAATGGGATATATACAATTTCAGGAAGTTGTATTAAAAAATGAGGATAAAGTTGAAAAGTCAACAGGAAGAGCCACAGACTATAATGAGGGTAACCATGTATACAAATGTAGGTAAATTTCTAAGTTCCACTATCGGAACAATTAATTCAGAGTAACATTATTAGCAGATCAAATATACTGAATATTTCTAGTACCCTTGGAGACAGATCCACGAGTCCAGAAAAGCTGAATATTTTCATCCTTTCTTATCAGTGTAGTCAAAAATATCTTATTTTCTTTAAACAAAACCAAATTGCTACTACAGTTACAACTACTAAAGACATCTTAAGTATATAATATTTAATAGTGGGATTTCTGGCACATTTCATTAGAAAGTACAAAGAGTTTCCATGCTATCAACTTAGACTCCCCAACTATAAAGAAAAATTTAAAAAAATTAAAACAGAATTAACATTTCTGAAAATACATTCCTTGAAACACTAATGGCAGAAGACACTGGGGTGGTAGGATAAAAGGGTTCTATAGTCAAAAAAAAAAAAGCTGAAGTGTGGAAAGTGCTGCATTCTCTTGCTCGTGGAGATGAACAACACTGAACATAAAGGTTCTGAGAAGTCCTGCAGTGAGCAAGACCTGTTTAAATTTGCTTAACCACTGCTTCCAAAATACAAGGTCCGGCACAAATAACATCCCCTTTTTATTACAGAATCTTTTATTACAAAATCATAGGCATGTAATTCTGTAACATAACAATATCAGACTCAAGAACACCATATGACCTTTTAGGCGAAAAGTTCAAATTAAAAATATAAATTATTACACCCGTATTATTACCCTACAAACCACACTCAAGCAGGAGTTACTTCTGCTGGACCCTGTATATTTGAACATAGACTCCTTTTATCTTCAGGTAATACCAAAGAACCAGTCAGTGTTCCTCATAAGTTATATTAGGAAATATATAATAAATTGCCCTGATTAGCTATTAAAAGTGTAATTCCGTATGCACCTTTCCCAAAGAGGTAGTCACTGGAAAAATTTGCTAAAATCTCAAAATGAGCCCATGGTATTTCATGTCAGGAAAAAAATCTAACATGCCTAGACTAGCATTTACACTATCTTTAGCAAGTTGTAATTATATCCAGAATATGTGCTTTGACCGCTTTACTGCCTATATGTCATTTAATCGAGTCCAAACACCAAATTTCTAATACCTGTGAAAATCTAAGAATAAATGTGACCCTCCAAGACTTCACTTTTCTTTCTGGGCTTTACTGTAAGCTGAGAAAACCATGAAGCTTTGAGCTACACCTTTAAATAAAACAATACACAGTTACCATCAATTTATTAACTGGTGCTGTGAGCGGCATTTATGCAATCCTATAGCAAAATAACGAATGTTCCACACCATTACTCACGAAGGAAAGTAGTGACATTATTACTTCATTCCCCTAACATCTCTCTAACATCCCTATTATTTTTATAGAACAAAATACATACTGTAATTACCACTTTACCACTTTGGAAGATAAGCAACTTTCCCCAAGTATCGATAGTCAGGAGGGACCAATTTTTTGTTGGACAGACATTTGTGCATATTTCAACTATAGAAATTATATTAGATAATCATCCTAAAATGTGAACAAAAACAGCAGATTCCTTTACTAAAAGCTTATCATTTAAGAAATTTTCTTCTTTTGAAATAATTTTGGAACACAATTTGCTATAAATCTAAACTTGAACAAAAAAAAAATCAGATGGCATGCTAGATAGGTTTTTGTGAGTTCGGAAATTATGAACAAAGTTTTTAAAAAGTGTAATGAGGCACTCATTCATTACTTTGTCCTTCTGTTCGATGAAACAAAATAAGTAAGCTACAATTAATTCTGGGTGAACTATGAATGTGAATGATTATGCTGCCAGGCTGTGGCATCACTTTCTTCCTAGGTTCTTGGTTCAATTCAAAAAATATATAAAAGTGTAACAAAACGTGCAAGATGAAAATAGACACCAACAATTTTTTTAAAGCCAAACAGAGAAAACACAATGACTATTATTGTGGAAATTATACATTTTGGTAACCCATGGATATTTGGTCATTGATTTTCAAGTTAGACAAAATAATCTGGTATTGAAAGAAAAGAAAAACACTTCAAAACATCTATGGCAGAATACATGTAATCACAGTATTTTATATTATGATAGTATGTATCAAAATATTTTTACCAGAGAGATGGCAAATGGTCCAAGAAAAAAAAAAGGAACATGAAAGGAGTCAAGAATGTTGACAATTCCATAAAGAAAAGAAATTAAAGAATCAGGTTCAAGTTTCATAAGTTTGTTTGTTTTTTTTTAAATATAGAAACAGAGGTAACAAAAATTGTTCTTCACCTGGTAAGTGTGTACTCCCTGAGTCCTGAATGCAAATTCATGGCAGAAAAAGTACCTATGCATCCACGCAATCTTTTGTCTCGACCAATCTTCCATGTTACAAACAGTGGGCTGTAATGGAAGATAAAAATTGGGTAAATTAATCAATTCAACTTAAGCAAGTATTTACTGAGTACATACTATATGCAAGGTTATATGTCTGAGATATAAAGACCAAATGACAAGACCTCAAGGGGCTGGGTCTAGCCCAGTAGGACTGCATTTAGCAATAATCACAGCTACATTGGTTTGAGCATATGTTAGGCATTACGATAGATGTTTTAAATCAATTATCTATGTTATCCTCATCAACACCTCTTGGAGGCTGGTGCTATTACTAAACATTTCTTTTTTTTAAAATTTATTTATTTTTTATTTTTAAAAATCATGTTTATTCTATTACAGTTGTCTCAATTTCCCTCTTTGCCCTCCTCCACCGATCCCACCCTGTCCCCTCTCCCCCACAGGCAATTCCCACACTGTTGCCCACGTCCATGGGTCATTCATACATGTTCTTTGTCTAGTCCCTTCCCCTTCTTTCCACCATTGTCCTCTTTCCCCATCCCCTCTGGTCACTTTCAGTCTGCTCCATGTTTCCATGCCTGTGGTTTATTTTGTTGAATAGATTACAGTTATAGGTGTGATCACATGGTATTTGTCTTTCACCGACTGGCTTATTTCACTTAGCATAATATTCTCCAGTTCCATCCATGTTGTCGCAAAAGGTAGGAGTTCCTTCTTTCCTTTTTTTTTAAAATGCAGATTGATTGATTGATTTTTAAATGTCAAAAATCCATGATAAAATATTAAAAAATTTAAATCCATTATAAAGTCTCAGCAATTAGAACATGACACCAGCACAGAAATAATCAAGTAGATCAATGAAATATGATGAGCATTCTAGAAACAAACGTATATATCTAACAATGTAATACATGATTAAATTGGTATTTCAGATCAATGGGGAAAATAAGGCTTATTCAACAAATAAGATGTATGGACCACTATTACTTGAAATAAAACAAATATAGAGCCCTATTTCACACATTATACATAAAATATTCAGGTGAGTTAAAAATCAGTATGTAGAATCTAAAGAGTTTTAGGAGAAAATGCAAAATAATATTTTTCTTACCCTGAAGTAAAATATTTAAAGCCAGAAGCTATAAGATAAAATACGGACAAAAATGACTATATTAAACATTTAAAACTATACTGTAATATACATATAAAAAAGTTAAAGAAAAATATGGACTGCTTCACGAATATGCACGTCATCCTTGCACGTGGGTCATGCTAATCTTCTCTGTATCGTTCCAATTTTAGTACATGTGCTGCCAAAGCGAGCACACACTTCTATTTTAGTTAGATATGAGGCGGCCCCACAGTTCATCCATAACAAAGTAACAACTCAAACCCGGGCAATCTTGACTACATAGCCTTAACCATCACGGCTAAGTAGCTGATTCCTTATTTAAACCTCAAGTTACTGATTGAGTCCTAAGTCTAGTTTAGAAAATCAGGGGAGCCCTGCCTGGTGTGGCTCAGTGGACTGAATGCCGGCCTGCAAACCAAAGGGTCACTGGTTCGATTCCCAGGCAGGGCATATGCCTGGGTTGCAGGTCAGGTCCCCAGTGGGGGACGCAAGAGAGGCAACCGCACAGTAATGTTTCTCTCCCTCTTTATCTCTCTCCCTTCCTCTCTCTCTCTGAAAATAGATAAATAAAAATCTTTAAAGAAAAGAAAGAAAATCAGGGGAAAACCAACCAATTTCAAGAAATACTTAACTGACTGCATTGTGAAAGGTGCTACAAGAAATAGAGTTACCTAAAACACAGTCATTGCTCTCTAAGAGCCTGTACAGAAGGAAGGCATGTTCACAGCAAACTAGGACAAAACAAGGGAGTGAGTGCTATAAACTATTTCCAAAACGCCATAAATTAAGCTACTGGGATAGAAGAAAGTTTCATCAAGTGTGATCCTCTTCAGCTTGGCCTATAAAAATGAGTAGGGTTCAGAGAGGTGAAGGGCAATAACAAACATTAACAAAGTAATGTCTGAAACCAGAAAATTTATTTTAAATTTTAGATAAAATTATTGTCAATAAGTACAATCTCTCAAGTATCAACTATCAAAGTATCGACTATGATATAATGGCATCAAGAAAGTGATATAGTTTTAAATGAAGTTTAATCCAGTAAATGCTTGGATTCCGTGGCAAACTACTGACAGCCTCAATTACTGGTTAAGCCTAAAAACAATTATTTTCATTAGAAGCAACTTTACATGTCAGTTTTATGAAATTAATTACTTTACACATTTTAGGACATTCTGTGAAAAGACAAAATGCTCTACGGTTGGGGATGGTTTGTGTTAATTTGAGTATTCACAGTATTATTAGTATAATAAAATAGATTTCAGCTTTCTAAAAATTTTAATCTTCAGGGCACATACATTATGTGATATATTTCTGATAATATGCTGTTGAGTTGGAGGCTACATTCTTTCTCTCTAGACAGTCATTAGGGGTTGGGTGAAAAGATATCCTGTTGAAGCACTTCAATCACCCACCTCAAACATTTAAATTGTCCTGAGTTCTGACAGGTAGCCACAAAGGCAGACAGGTTCCCCAACAAACAGTTTACAAACCAAGGAAAGATCTGTGTAAAAGGTGGAAGGGATTTCTACTTGACAACCCTACTGTGTTTAGGACACAAGCCTGAAGATGGAAGAAATCAGACTTTTAGTAGACAGAATAAATCTATTCCTTCAAAATCTGGAACTCTAATCTTTCATTTGCAAAGGCTCATGCAATGTCTTTTATAAAGACTTTATATAGAGAATTTAAAAAACCCAAAATACTTAAAAGCGTTATTTAATGGGGAAAACACTGGGAAGTTAATGATTTTAAAACACATTGAACCTGACTGGTGTGGCTCAGTGGACTGAGTGCCAGCCTGCCAACCACTGGGTCACCAGTTTGATTCCCAGTCAGGGCACATGCCTGGGTTGCAGGCCAGGTCCCCGGTGGGGGGTGTGCGAGAGGCAACCACACATGGATGTTTCTCTCCTCCTTTCTCCTTCCCTTCCCCTCTGTCTAAAAATAAGTAAATAAAATCTTAAGGAAAAAAATAAAGTACATTGAAACAGAATAAACAAAAATGAACACAAAAGATTGAATCTTGAGTGGGATAACCACTTTGTATAGAACAATGACTATGGGTACATTCTACACTGTTACCTAAAAATAGCAAAAAAGTTTTATTTTCCCAAAACACAGAGGGAAAAAAATAGGCAATTTCATTCTTAAATTTGTTATTAAAAGATGTATAAGTTCCCAAAAGGACATAAGACATCAAGATAATCAGAGATAGATCACAGTAGGAAAAGGGATTTGCGCCCGTTGAGAGAAGCTGCTCAGTGACAAGTATATAAGGAAAACAGTTCATAGAAAGACAGAGATGGAATGCTTTTGGAAAATACTTTTACCATATGTTTTAGGGTCACCTACTAACAATAAAAATATATTACACACTAGAAAGGAGCTTAAAATGAAATGAAATATTAATGGAAATAATTATCTGAGGATAACCAGACATTGCTTTTTAAGGAATTTCCCTATCTGAACATTTTATACCTCATGTTTTAAGAAACCTTTGGAGAAACTCTCTCCATTTTGCCAAGTCTCTGGACAGAATGAGGAAGGAACCACCTAATCTAGGTGAATCCTGTCAACTGGCAGCCAATACCATCAGGTCAATAGTAGTAGCTCTCAAGGAAATATAGTTGCATGGAATCAGCAACAGTACAGAAAAGCAATGTAAATTTGGTCAGGATATTCCCCAGTCGAGGTTGCATGCCACTTCCTGTGCCCCTCTTTGCGACTATCCTATTCATAGGCCAGAAAATGTTAGATATATGTTTGTGGGAGAGGGGTCTGACTATGAACCAGGTGTATTTACTTAACAATACTGTATCGTAAATCCTATTTCCCCTGCCATACCAAGGCAAAAAGAGGTTAAAAAACAAACAAAAACAGCCTAAGACATTTGCAAGTCCCCATTGCAGCAATTTGCTCTTCATTAGATTATTTAGAATGAAGTTTGTAGATAGTAAAATTAACAATATGATATCAATCCCCACCAATGTAATACTAATTACTATGATGGGTATTCATTCAACAAGGTTATTAATATTTTAGGTAGATATAGGTAAAGAGAGAAGCCCTCTAGCTTGGTTGTTTCATTTTGCCTTCAAATAATAACTGCTTCTCAACTATGTTCGGGTTCTTCTGCGACCTAGCTCAAAAATGCAACTGAATTACTCATTATGTCCAAATCAATACCATAATTCCCTAGGGCCTAGGTGCTCAGAAAAAAACAGAAATGACAGTCTCCCTTCCACCACCAGGTTAAAACCTTTCACTTCCTATTCCAACACAGAGTTATATATCTCGTTCACGAATCATATAAACTACAGATTCAATTTGTAAATATGTACTCAATATGGTTAAATACTGTATTAGTCTGTTTGGGGTGCCATAACAAAATACAACAGACTAGGTGGCTTAAATGACAGAAATTTATTTTCTCACAATTTTCAGACCGGGAAGTCCAAGATCAAGGTTCTCATCTTGGCCTGTAGATGGTTGCTTTGTCCTGATATAGCCTTTCCCCAGAGCGTTCACAAAGAGCCAGTGAGCATGCACAGGAGATCTCTAGTATCTCTTCTTATAAAGATTCTAGTTCTGTGGGTTCAGGGCCCTGCCCTTATGACCTCATTTAACCTTAATTACCTCATTATAGGCCTTATCTTCAAATACAGTCACAGTTGGGGTTGGGGCTTCAGCATATGAATCTTATGGGGACACAATCCAGTCCACAGCAAACCCCTAACAAAAATGTTAGCACGTAGTTAAAAGTTTATATAATAAGGTATCTAAAGGTATTAGTTAAAAGAACTCTGAAGAGATTATCTGTTTCTTCTTCATTTTACAGGTGAAAAACAAAAAGCAATCAAGGGAGACTAAATGCAGAGTCACCAAGCTGGTTAGAGATAGAACCCGGCTGGTTCTCCAAATACTTCCCCAGAATAGGGAGGGAAATGTGCATAGCAAACATATATGTTTCTAAAATACCAGAAAATAGGAAAATCTCATGAATACTACACAGTATTATGCAGGTGGACATAAGCACAGATCTCCTCCTCCTCAGAAAGACACCACGGCAAACTGGAAATCCTAGATCAGCCAGAAATATTGGACCCAATCTACCAGCTTCTATACTATTCTTATTAGAAGCTCATAACAAAACCTACCAGTTTTTTTTTTTTGTTTGGTTGGTGGTTTTAAAGATTTATTTATTTTTAGAGAGAAGCGGAGGTGGAAGAGAAAGAGAGCAAGAGAAACATCAATAGGTTGCCCCTTGTACACGCCCTGACCTGGGACAAACTGCCATCTAGGTATGTGCTCCAACCAGGAACTGAACCAGTGACCCTTGGCTTTGTGGAAGGACAGCCAATCAATTGAGCCACAATGGTCAGGACACAACCTATCAATTTATTTTTATTGGCTTCCCAGCACCCCTTCTGACTCCCCCTCAACCTTCTTGCTACATTTTTTCCTATTGTACAGCCAGCCGTCATCAAACTCAGGTGTTCTAGGGAATACCTACAAATTCCCACCAAATCAAAATTTCTATTTATCATCTGATTAAGTAATTCATATTACATAATGAGGCTTTTCAGTGAATGGATGAATGACTGAATCATTAATGAATGAATAAGACTTAACTCTTCCAGATAATCTGAAGTTGACAGGAAGCCCTGAATGGAGAGGAATAGAAAGGGGGTAAATAGTGGGGATGGGGGGAGGTAAGATTCCAATGCATTTTACACTTTCTCAGCCACACCAGTCTTTTACTGCAGATAAGGAAAATACACTAAATCACCATTATAATCTTATACCACTCTCTTCCCTCCAACCTCTGTAAATAGTCCATATCTCATGGGCTCAGGAAAATAAGGAGACACTGCTTAAACAGTCAGCATGGCTTAGTACAGAAAACAACTATCTGAAAGTGGGAATCAGGAACTACCAATCTTTCAGTATTTTTCTCTACCTGGTGTTCCCAGAAATTCTATCATAGCAACATTATGTTATTTCCCCCCTGTTTTTATAATGCTAATTTAACTAGCAAATGCCAGAGAAAGAGAGGTAGTCTAAAGTCTTACATATGACTGGGAAGGTTAAAAGTATGTGTGAGTCTTCTATATCAAGGATAATCACCACCAACATACAATCAGCCGAACTGCAAGCGTACTTTAAAGGATTAGTTTGATTCTGCCAATTT